ATTTTTTTGTTTGTAAAAAAAGTTGTCTAACTTGGCAAATTGTGGATCCTCCATATACTTATGTGGCAAGAGATTGTTTTTGAATTGCCATAATATAGTATAGATAGATATAGATATAGATTATACACAACTTGTTATTACCCATTAAACTCATTCTTGAGATCTCCAGTCTATGGGTCGGGTTACTATCATGTGTATCTCAACATTCTTTGGGCATAAGTCTCCTACCTCTAGTGGCATTATGTACTTTCTCTCTAGCTAATCCTTTCATCAAAGGATATAATAAGTTTTCTTCAGATCTTACAAATTCCACCCTCACTACTCTTATAGTTAGGAACTCTCTCATTATATTGTTCTTACAATGAATTTGTCATCTCTTACCGTTGTAGTAATAGTTCTCAACCTTAGCAATAACTGCATATTCCTATCACAATGGATCGATTCCAGCGGAATCAGTCTTTCCCGTGAGGGAATCTTTACCAACAAATATCTCAACCAACTCACTTCTTCACTAACCAACACAGGCTTACCATCAAAGTAATTATATTTCTTCAAGACTTTTCTATTTAATCATATTGATCAAGAGAGAAAATCTTGTTTGTCCTAATTATCTGGGTTATAATAATAACATTAGCTTCACTTAAATCTTTCGCATTGAATTTCTCACACAACATTGACAACACTAATATTTTGTAAAGATCAACATATCATCTGCATATAAACATAGGTTAGTGTAAGTCTCCTTCTCAAATTTGTATTAGATGCACTACTTGTGACTTTCATTCCCTTTGAAAACATGAGAGAGAACTAAACTATCAAATTACGCCACTGTTTTGGAGGTGTTTCAACTCATATAATGATTTGTCTAAGTTACATACTTTCAAAGCATGTTGAGGAATAGCAAACTCTTCAGATTGTTTCATGTAAACTTTTTCATCTAAATTACCATACAAGAGTGTTTAAAGCAGTACAAGAAATAAACAAAAAAACGAATGGATGTTACTTTAGATACTAATGAATAGGTAAGACCACAATGCCCGCCTTACGTCTAGCGTCTTCTTGAACATTGTTATTGACTATATAGCCAACAAAGACACATTTATAAGCTCTAATAGCCAACTTAATCCTCTTAGCCCTTAGGAGCATGAACTCTCTCACACAGGCTAAACAATCCATCGTTCTAAAATAGGACAAATTAGGTGATCTATTCTTTAAATATCTCATAGGGTGATTCTTTACTGTTAGTCTTAGGAACATGATTAATCACGAAGCAAACAGTAAACAAAAATGTTATCCCATCAAGAAGAAGCAACACCAGAATTAACCATAAACAAACACAACTAATTAAGTCTAGGTCATATTTTCCTTTCAGCTTTACCATTCATTTCCGGCGAATATTGTGCAGTAGTTTCACAAATGATACCATGTGAGTTATTGAATTCCTCAAATATATTATAGTCATATTCCGAGCCTTTATCCCTCATAAGTCATTTAATTTTTCTATTGCAATTAATTCTCAAACTGTACCACAAACCGTTTAAACATATCAAGAGCATCACTTATGTTTTTCATCAAGTAATCAAAATAATACTTAGAGCAATCATCAATGAGCATGATAAAGTATCTCTTGTCATTCCCAACTAACGCCCTATCCATTTCACAAATATCAAAATGAATCATATCGAAGAGTTTTAATTCTCTAAACACATATTTATGGGGCTTACTTTTTTTTTTATCTTAGTTTGACTACATAAATCACATTATAAAATTCATCCAAAGACAGTTTAGGGATATGTCATAAATCACATTATAAGATTCTTCATGATGCATTTGTTCACATGACAAAGACGAGTATGGCAAACATTCAAATTACACAATATGTAACCATAACAATAGATCTTAATCACTTCAACATTCAACTTAAACATTTCATCACATGCATACTCCTTTCCCACATATTTCTCATTTTTAGTAAGAGTTTACAAATCAAGACCTATAGCTTGATGAAACTCAACCTTGTTGAGAAAGTAGCCCAAAACAAGATTCTTCCTTATCTTAGGTGTGTGCAAGACGTCTAGGAGAGTAAGAGTCTTGCTATAGGTAAATTTCAATTCCGCACTCCCAAAACAAGCCACAATAGTAGTGTGAGCAGTCCCCACCAATAGTATCTTATCAGGAGATGCCTTAGTGTAGGTCTTGAATATAACACGATTATTGCACATGTGCTTTAAGGCACCATTATCCAACCACTATCCTTTAGGGTTACAAGGAAGATAATATATTTGCTATCATCTCAACCAAATCCTCCTCTTCAGTCAAGTTAGCAATGTGACCAGTGTTAGACTTGTTCCTACACTTTCATGTCATATGAGGTAGTTTCCCGCAATTTTATCAAAGAAATATAGTGTCATTCGTAGAGGACAATACCATGACTTTTTTGCTACCATTATGATTGAGTGGATCTGATTGACTTTTTGCTCTGATTCTTGAATTTTTTATGGTTTGGTTTCAGAGCCCTAAGAGTGGGTCGCTTAGCAATGACAACCAGCAAATCTTTCTTCATATATTGTTTATGAGCTTCCTCCTCTATCCTAAAGTGAATATACTTTCCAACGATTTTTTATTGATTTTATGTCTAAGAACATTCTTAAAACCCTTTCATGAAGGGGAAGCTTATAAAATGATACTAGCAACTTGAAGCTAGGGGTAGGAAATGATGCGGTCTGGATCAGACCACATACTATACGATACAGAGCAGACCACGCCTATTCGGTGCAGTCCGGTACAGTCTAGACCAGGCAGATCATGTCAAAAAAATTCAATCTTTTTCCACCCTCCAACCCTCACCGGTATGTATAAAAATAAATATTTCAGTGACCAATATGCTAGAAAACAAAATTTTAATGATCGTAATTAAATGAGAAGAAATATATGAGGAGAGAAGTGAGTTTTTTAATTTTTAAACTCTCTCTCCAGTCTCCACGGCTCTATCTAGTATCCATTAAAAAACACAAATCAAATAGTATTGTCTCACTCTTCCTTTTTGTGCTACCGCTTCTCTTCCTCACTCGGGTTATTTGAAGGTTCTCGCGTCGATCACCTTCGTGATGATGCCGAGGTCGTTTTGAACCACTAAGATGGCCGATTATCTCTCAATAATATTCTTATCTCATCTAGGTGCATGAGTTTTTTTGTAGTGTTTATGTTTTATCGACTCCATAGTCTAGACGTTTTCGGTTAATATTATTTATGAAGCTTTCTGATTTTTGTGTGGTTCTTGAATAAGGAGATAACACATAAGCGATCATTTAGGCAATTTGTTGGCTCTCAATTGGATGATGAATCAACTGACTTTGTTCTTCAGATACATAAATGAAGGTTTAACTTAGTGTTATTTTGGTCTGAGTTAGTAGGTAGTGCGCCACGGTCTATTACGGTTTACTGCGGTAGACCGCAGTCTTGACCACCTCAGACCACACACTAAAGAAGACCGCAAACTATACCCAGACCATAGTTCTGGTCTCACAGTCCATACCAAACCATACAATACGGTCTAGACCGCGGTTCCATACAGTTTGGTCTAGATTCCCACCCTACTTGAAACTGATCGTCAAGTGGCATAACTTCTGTGACGATCTCATGATCAATCTTTTGGAGTTCATGTGAATGAACTTCAACGAACCTGTCGTTCACCATCTTGTAGCATAAGTATTGGCTGACAACATACTTATTGGCTCCAACATCCTCAATGTTGTACTTTTTCTGGAGAGCATTCCAGACCATCTTTGCAGTGTTGTTATGATCCAAATAATAGTTCGTAGAGATCATCCGCCAGAAAATGATGATGCAGTTCTTTGAGAGAAAGTCATCTTCTTTCCACTTTGCAACAATTGTAGTCTTCTCCGCATAAGTGGAATCTTCAGCCAGAACCGATGACATATGGAGGTGGCTTCTTGGTTATGAGATAGAACAATAACTTTTGTCTTTAGCGGTGGAAATTGGGTCCAGGAAAATGAAAGGGGCGATTGATATCGCTCAAGCGAGACATGATATTTTGTTTGGCAGGCATATAAACAACACATCGTCTTAAAAGTGTTGAAATCAAACTAGAAAAATAGGGGTTAATGATATGGGTGAGTCGGGGACTAGATCGCCCCCCCTTTTTAGACATTCGTGACACTATCTCATAAATTGCGCTCAACAGACTATCAACCGATTGTCTTCAGGATAAAACAACTACTCACAATTCTCCTTATTCATGCTAAAACACAAGGAGATCAATGGAGAACACTCTCAATTTTTATGCTCAATTTCATATGTATCTTAGGGTTAGAGAACTCAACTCTTTTTTATATATATATTTATATACTGAGGTCTTTAGATCTCCGTTCTTAGTGGAGGACTGGTAACCGGTGTGTCAAAAGGGAATTAAAGGTAACCGATATGATTAAACATTCATTCAATATGAAAAATTAACCCAATTGATATAACTATCCTTCAATATGATTGATCAAAACTTTTATTGAATACGGACAATTAATTCAATCGATGAAAGTTGGGTAATCAATTCGATTGGTTGAAAAATTCCTTCAAAACGAACAATTCATCCAAATTGAATGCACTTATGACTTCTTTTATAATTTTCCTTCTTTAAATTCTTACAAACTATTAATGTTTTTCAACAGACGCCTAATTAATGAGAAGAAAAAGAATATTTGAGAGGCATAACAACATGAGCCCACGAGAAACCACTTGGTTCTGTACACCTAATTGGAACACATCGACAGTTAGCATCCTTAACTAAACCAAATTTTCGTAACTGGCATATTCTGTACTGTAGTAGGCCTGGAACGTGAAATGACTAGAATAACCCGATTTGGTACCGTCAGCAGCAGCCCTCCCTACTTTTGTAGTGAAATTGTTTCTTCTTCCAAAAATTTACCGTGGCATTGCATGGCAATCATACCACTCCTTCTACATTTCAGAAGAAGCAATAAATTCCGTGGGGGACCCGTAATTCCCATCCCTTTCAGGTTCTGTCGACTCTTCCAGCAGGGAAAATGGAAAAGAAAACGAAGGCCACAAACGCGCAAATCGCCAATACCAGACCTGCAGTCTGCAGCTTTCCTCTTATCGTCTCAGCACACCCATCACCCCATAATTTAGGAAAGGCCCAGCCAACCAAATCAGCTTAAACCTCCAGTCCTCCACATCCCACAAAACTTGGCAACACTTGCACCTCTCGATCACAAATGTGGAAAACATAACCCAACACCATTCTCCTTATCCTTCCCTTCCTTTCTCCCCTCCTCTGCTTCACAAGGAACAACCACCGCAATGGCTGCCGCTGCCAATTCACCTTCCTCCAGCAGGCGAAACTCCAACACCCAGCTGCTGGAAGAGCTGGAAGCACTCAGCCAATCCCTCTACCAGACCCACACTGCTTCCACCGCCAGGAGGACCAACTCCCTCGCCCTCCCCAGAACCTCACTCCCTTCCATCCTCTCCACCGACGAAATCATCAAACCCTCCTCCGACGCCGCCGCCGTCCCAAACAGCAGCAGCAGCAGATCCGCCTCCCGCCCCCGCACCAGGCGCATGTCCTTGTCCCCCTGGCGCTCCAGGCCCAAGCTCGACGACGACGACGTCACCATCAAAACCACCGTCAAACCTGACGGTGGCAAGAAGCTGGACGACGGCAAAGCAGCAGAGAAGAAAGGAGGGATTTGGAACTGGAAGCCGATTCGAGCGCTCTCCCACATTGGTATGCAGAAATTGAGCTGTTTATTCTCCGTCGAAGTGGTAGCCGTACAAGGGCTTCCTTCCTCCATGAATGGGCTCAGGCTCTCCGTCTGCGTCAGGAAGAAGGAGACCAAAGATGGTTCCGTTCACACCATGCCTTCCCGGGTCTCCCAGGGCGCCGCGGATTTCGAGGAGACGCTTTTCATCAAGTGCCACGTATACTGCTCTTCTTCTTCTTCTGCAGGAAATACCAACAGCAGCAGCAGCAACAAGCAGCTGAAATTCGAGCCGAGGGTTTTCTACATCTATGTCTTCGCCGTCGATGCAGAGGAGCTCGATTTCGGGAGGAGCTCGGTGGACTTGAGCGAGCTGATTCAGGAATCCATGGCCAAGAACCTGCAAGGAACCAGGATTCGTCAGTGGGACACCACGTTCACGCTGGCTGGCAAGGCCAAAGGAGCTGAGGTTGTCCTGAAGCTAGGGTTTCAGATTATGGAGAAGGATGGTGGGATTGACATCTACAGCCAAGCTTCTCAAGATCAAGGGGCGAAAGCCAGTGGTAGTAGTTTAGTGAAGAGCTTTACGCCTTCTTTTGGGCGTAAACAGTCCAAAATGTCTTTCAGCGTGACTAGTCCTCGGATTACTAGTCGCGCTGAAGCTTGGACTCCTTCGCAGGCCAGAATTCCAGCTGATCTTCAGGGGATTGACGATTTGAATCTCGACGAGCCAGCTCCTGTTGTTGTTCCTCAACTTCCTCCTTCGTCAGGCCAGAAGAAGGATGGTGAGCAGAAAGTGGAAGAAGAGGTTGACCTTCTTCCAGAGTTTGAGGTGGTGGATAAAGGAGTGGAGATTTCTCAGGACAAAGAAGAAGAGAAGAGTGGTGGAGATGGAGATGCAGATTCTGTGGAGAATTCGGAAGGGAAGTCCGTTTCTAGCGAGGTCGTGAAGGAAATCGTGCATGATCAAGTTCACTTGAACCGATTGTCTGAGCTTGACTCCATAGCTCAGCAGATTAAAGCTTTGGAATCCATGATGAGAGAAGAGGAAAATGATGATGGTGATGATGAGGCTGAATCACAGAAGCTGGATGCGGGTGAAGAGACGGTGACGAAAGAGTTTCTTCAAATGCTTGAAAATGAAGGAGAAGGGATGGATGGAGTCCAGTTCAGTAATTTCAGCCAATTGCCTGAAATCCATTATGATTCAGCTGAAGCTGATTCTGATTCTTCCCAAGCCTATGTCTCGGATCTCGGGAAGGGACTCCGCTGCGTGGTTCAAACCCGGGATGGAGGTTACTTGGTGGCCATGAACCCACTCAATGATGTTATTGTGACTAAAAAGGAGACTCCAAAGCTCGCGATGCAGCTATCGAGACCACTCGTTCTTGCATCAACACAGCAGCAGCAGTCTTCCTCTTCCTTTAGTGGGTTCGAGTTGTTTCAGAAGATTGCTGGTGTTGGATTTGAAGAGCTGAGTTCACAGATTCTGTCTACAATGCCGCTAGACGAGCTGATGGGGAAAACAGCAGAGCAAGTTGCGTTTGAAGGGATAGCCTCTGCAATCATCCAAGGGAGGAACAAAGAAGAAGTAGCGACCTCGAGTGCTGCGAGGACCATTGCTTCGGTGAAGACTATGGCAACTGCAATGAGCTCAGGGAGGAAAGAGAGGATCTCGACAGGGATATGGAACGTGAGCGAGGAACCTTTGACTGCCGAGGAGGTGTTGGCTATTTCATTGCAGAAGATTGAAGCGATGGCCATAGAAGGATTGAGAATCCAGGCTGAAATGGCTGATGAAGAAGCTCCCTTTGATGTCTCTCCAGTTCAGGGAAGCCAAGTTCTGGAAACTGCGAATCCTTTGGAAGACTGGATAAGGAGAAGTGAGAAGTCGGGAGAGAGTGAAGAGACGATCACTATAGCTGTTTGTGTCCAGCTCCGGGATCCATTGAGGCGATATGAAGCAGTTGGAGGGCCTATTTTGGTAATCATCCATGGAGGTCGAGTAGTTGATGGAAACGAGAAGAAGTATGAAGAAGAGAAGAAGTTCAAGGTGAGGAGCTTACATCTTGGAGGGATGAAGGTGAGAAGTAAAGGGAAGAGGAATGCATTTGATACAGAGCGGCAAAGGTTGACTGCCATGCAATGGCTGGTAGCTTATGGAATTGTGAAGGGAGGCAAGAAGGGGAAGGTCGCAACTGGGAAAGAGCAGGATGTGTTGTGGAGCATTTCTTCCAGAATAATGGCGGATATGTGGCTGAAATCGATGAGGAATCCTGATGTTAAGCTGGTGGTTCGGTAGGGGATGTAAAAAGGATTCTTTGATACGATGAAAACAAAACTACAGATAATATTGGAACAGTGAACTCATTCAACAGGATTATGTCTATTTAAGGTTAATTGCTTTTTTTTTCATTCTTCAGCAAGTTATCTGTATATTGTTCATTAAGGAATTATGCACAAGTCGTTCTACAAAATGAGAGAAACAAGCTAATTTACTACCAGAAAGCTTTAAAAGCCATACCTTTAGAAGTTCCTGTTAAGTGGGCAAGTGTCAAGTGTGTACTAGCTACTGAGAAATTCCTGCTGCACTATGAACAGCAGAAACACAGAGACACACACATAATATATACAGAGAACGAGAATATTTGGTTAATCTGATCTTAATGCCGGAAAATATTTCACTTCTAACAGTAACTGTTCTTTTTGAAGTTGCCATGGTGGTTTACAATTGATCCTCGCTCTTCTTTTGACACAACAGTTCATCCTTAAATGTTTAGAGCACTTGTGCTACGAGATATTTCATGTCAACTCTCACTCTCAGTACGTTCCCAAAGGTAATATAACGGATAGATTGGCTATGCTTTTCCCTTCTTCTCATCATCTTCCTCGTCAGAGTCACCGCTTTCTCTGAAACGTGGATTCTTCTCCTGTTGGAAGGAAAGACAGACAGATGATCCATAATATAAGGCAACATAATCGATATGGTTTCTCAAGAATCCGGAAGGAAGAGCTCAAGGATCACGAGTATGTAACTCTAGCAACACACTGATAAACAGAAGGAAAGCTGAAATCATAAATGATTCAGAAAATTACCGGTCGGGATTCAGGATCAGAGTTTCTTCGAGGTTCTTGTTCGTACGCTCTTTTTGGAGGCTCACCACGAGCATGTCGGTCATCATCTCGGAACCGCTTTCTATGAAAATCTACTCAATCCAAAAAAATGGAAATCGGATCGCCAATTATGAAGCCAGATATCAGTAACGGTGGATAATATCACACTAACAGATTTCAGAGAAGTTTAAAGTGCCAGATGAGAATACCTCTTCCTTGCCTATGTGAGCCACCATGACCAGGGCCCCCTTGTCTCCCAACTGTGGCAGTAAATATTAGCAGAATAATTTTCACAAAACATTCATGCAGAGTATAAACTACCTATATTGCCAGGAAGTGATGGAACGCTTTGAAAGAAATGAAGAATAGACGACGGATAACTCTTGCAAATTCCAAATGTTTCCAACTCCAATTACCATTAAGTCCACTATTATATGTTCACTTATTTTTTTACCAAACTAGAGGCCAGATTCCACTACAGCGCTATTTAGCTTTATAATATGCTACTACTAGCATAAAAAGCTCAAGAAACTAAGATTAAAAACCTAGAGTTTTCCCAAGCACCAGTAAACAAAATGGAACTGAGCATCATGTTTGTTGTATGCTTGATAACTAGAAATTAGTTAAATGAATAACTCACATTGAGGTGGCATAATCGGAGGGAACGAACCAAGCGATCCAGTCCCATAATCTACAAGCTGCCTTTGAGCTTCCAGCTCTTTTTGCACTAACTTCCCATAACCACCCCTGCGTATAACCTTGTTAAGGAAATCAGAAAAGCCTCTGGTTGCCCTTTCAATTAATTAGTGAACAGTCAGAACTAGATTGTTAGCATGAAAAATTAAGTGGTTGTAGAATAAGGATATCAGGATCATAGTCTGTACGATACTCATCTCGGACCTGGAAAATGGCAGAAAAAGAAAAGTCTAATGAATTTTTGGGGAATAAGTGAGTCCGCCCAAAGAAGGAGGTTTTGGGGGAAGAACTGTTGAAACATATCAATTGAAACTGAAAGAACCGTCCATGCCTGTCCACCACTTCGACCTCGGCCCCACTGCCTTCCTTCTTGAAATCCCCAATCAAAATCGACTCGAATGGGGCGGTCGTCAAGAATTGTACCACTTATATACTTCACAGCATCCTCGGTATCTTCTCTGGAATAGTATCTGATGCACACATGCACACAGCACTTGTTAAAGGGCATTACTAACTTTTTAGAAACAGGCAGGAACCTAACCCCGTGAGCAGCACAACCATTGAGGACAACAATACATAACTAGGTAAAGCCCAGGAACAAATGTAGTTTATCCTAACAATCCAGCATTCAAGTACGACAAATAGGCTTGACACCGAGGTAAAACTCTAGCTATGGTTATGGTTGAGATTTCCCAGTTAATCCCTAATGTTTAGTCCCAGTGCTAATGGTTTCAGAGGCCCTTGGCTAAGTTATACAACCGCGCTGGCCATAACATTTGTCTGCATTTTCAAACTTGAAGAAAAGCATTTCAACAAGAGCATGCAGGCAACACAAAACCATTTTTCTACCGACTAAGCTACGAGAAGCAAGATTAGGAGACTCACAAGACGAAACAAAAGCCACAAGGAGTCTTTGAGTTCTTATCCAATCCCATGATTATCTTCTTAATTTCCCCAGCCCGAGTGAATAGCTCATAGACTTGCTCTTCCGTAGTGTAGAAAGACATGTTCCCAATGTATACGGTAACCGAGGTCTGCAGTGCATGCTCAAATTCCTCCTGTGTTCCAGGAAAGCGTCTGTCCCGATAAGCCGAGAGCTTCGCCGGATCCTACACCAGTTGACATACCATGGAAATAACTAACTCAGAAATGATGCTGGTTATAACGGGCAACGAGCAAAATTCCAAGTCATAACGCACTGAGCTTAACACCAATTATCTTCGATCTAAAACCGCAGAAACATAAAATCTAACAGTCTGCAGAAAGCACGAAAGAAAGAGAGGGAGAGGGGTTCGGGTAAGATTCGCATACCTTGAAGAGGGAAGCCATTGCTGCCCCTCTATTAGATTGAATCGAAAGAATCCGAACTTCCCACCAGGTCTTGAAGCTCGGCAATGCGGAATCCTACGCTCGAATCGAAAGAAAATTTACTTAAACCCTAACTTTCTTCAGAATGGAGAGAGGGACGCGACTGGCGACAGGACAACTCCGTCACCTCGGAGCATTTTTCTAGTTTAGGGGTTCGGTTTACTCTCCGCGTTTCGTTTTCCGTTTATGCGTTTCTTTCCCCTCCCGACGAGAAGACCAAAACGGTAATGAGTAGGTGGGCTACTGGGCTTAGATACCGAAAGTCCACCCAAGAAATAATTTATGGGTTGCTGGGCCGGACGGTTATCCAGTCCTACCAGCTGTTCGATGACTCGAAAAAACATTCTGCTCTTAGGGTTACTTTTATGATTGCAATCTAATCCAGTTCTCCAAGGTTACTTCCAGTTCCAGCCGAAACCTCGGTCTGTGTTTCAATTCTACTTCCGTCGAGCAACTCGCTAAACTCAATACAATGGCCGCCTTCGCCGCCGCAGGCAGATCCATTTTCCGCTCGTCGTCCTGCGCTCGCAGTGCGGCTGCCCGGTTTGCCTCGCAAACCAAGGCCGCTCCAAAATCCGCTCCAACTTCCTCCTTTAGTGCTTCCACCAGCAAGCCCCTCTCTAGACCTGCATTCAGGTAGACATTGGGTACTCACAGTTGGAGATTGATATCGTAATTGAATTGAATGGTTGCAACTTGCAAGTTCCTTCCTTTATTCCTTATGTCCTTTGTTTGTGAGAATTTCTTTCTGTTTTGGGTTGGGTACGCAGGCTTCCAGTCGAGATGAGCTCTGCGGTGGAATCCATGCTGCCTTACCACACTGCTACTGCCTCAGCATTGATGACCTCGATGCTTTCCATCTCTCAGCGTGGTTATGGATGGCTTCCTGAAGGTTAAAACTTAAATAAACGTACTTCCACTGTTTTCCGCGCATCTGTTTTGGATTGTTGCTTCTTTTATTCCGGACTTGGAATTGTGTGCTTATATTGCTGCAATACTCTGGAGTTGGGTGCTTGAATGGTTTTATGTTCTCCTTATTAGGGTTTTGATTTGTTCATGTTCGTGATATGCATGATTGATTTCGGTGTCTTGGTGTTGATTTCTCCATATGTTCCAAGCATTAATGAGTGATAGCATGTCTGCTGTTTGGATAGCTTTCGTTGCTGAACTTTTGGGTGCAAAGATCCTAGACATTGGGGGTGTCCGGTGTCTGCTCGCTTTGTTTAACTGGCTTCCTGTTTCTCTGTTTTGGTGTTTTTTCCTAGAGAACCAGTCTTGCTTGTAGGCTGCCTAACTGGTTGATTTTCTCTCTTTGACTTAGGTATCTAGCAACGTTTGTCCCCGTCCTTGATGTTCTTTTCTTCCTTTTGGTTTCCTGGTAAGTTAGTGCTTGCTGGATTTAGGTCAATTTAAGAAGCAAATTCTGTAAATCGACACACTAGGTTGCAGATTTTACTCGATCAGGATTCTTTTTATCACAAACCTTTTCCCCAGATCTAATGAACTGTCAACTTTTAGGACACACATTTGAGTTCTCTGGTTTTAGTTTCACGTAGTCTTTTTATGTTTTAGTTTGCAATGAAACAGCAAGTAGGAGTTCTAATTGCTGTGCTCAATTTTCCTTATGGATCAATAAGTGCACTCTTTTCATGTTGTAGGACGAGTCAAGACTAGATGATGGAGGAGAAGCAAAGATGGAATGACTTGGGTTTAGTAGACTATTGAGCTCTTAGTAAATTAGGCGAAATTGGCATATCAGATGTAAAGTGTCAAACTTGATTTTAATGATTGGAGTTTTGGAAAGAACATGGCTCATACGTTTTGTTGTAAGAATCTTAAATAAGGCCGATATTGTTGTCTTTAGATTCTGAATTTTTCAGGGCAACTTTCTGTTCACATTGTGCCTTTTCCCTTTAATAGCCAAATCCACAAAAAGTTGGAAGCTTTTTGTACATCTGGAAAATAGTCTTTTTGTTGATTGCTATAATATTGGGTGCAGGTCTTGCGTCAAAAGATGTGTTTTAAATTTAAGAAGGCCAATGGTACCCTGATCATGTGCCTGGGTCTTTTAGTAGTTGAATCTCTTCTGGATCTATGGAATCACTCTGCATTTTGGAGGACAGTTTCCTGTTCTTCCTTATTGGTATGATCGCTGTTCAGATTGTCATCTGAATGGTTTGGTGTTCTTATAAGGTCATCTTCTGAGATGCCTCATTAGTCGGTAGAATGATTTATAGTTGTGTCAACTCTTTTACTTGCAGTTTGTCAAGTGAAGTGTCTTGATGAAATACTAGTTTGAAAAGAACCAACCTGACTATTTTCTTTCCAATCAGCTTGCAATGATGATGTGTGATGAATGTTCAGAGGATTCAAGCAACTTTAATGCAATAGACATTTAGAAGTTCCGAGTGAGCTGCTGAAGGGGCGAGTTTGATTTTGTGAGTTTCCAGGCCTAGATAATAAGTTTCTCCCGGTACCCCCCAAAGAGGCAATCACCTCTTTTGAGCATGGCATTTAGAATGTTGATGTGAACAGATGTATTAGTGTTAATAGAATTGATTTGTAATCTTCACCTTTCTGTGATCTTTCTGCCCAAGCATTTTCATTATTCTGTTGCTGGTTCACAACAATAGGCAACTAATTAATCTTTTACATAACCAGCTTGCAATGATGATGTATGATGATGAATGTCAAATGGCTACAGAAGAAGTTCCGTTGGGGAATCCTCTTCGCCTAGAAATGGTCGGTCCGGCAGGGGATTTTATCACATTGATGTTATTATTTGTGTAGTAGTGCAACTTTAAAGACAATGAGTTCTTGCTATGTCTTCTCTTTGTGTAAATGCTGGTCATATTACCCTGCCCAAGAGATCGGACATTTTGTCTGTTTTTTATTCTTGAACATCAGTCTTTCTAGCTGCTCTTAAGAACCTGAGATGTTTTGCCTAGTGAAACTGCTTCAAATGCATCGTCTCTCCCATCTGAAAATGTTAACGAGAACATCCTCGAGTGAGGCCACTGCCTTAGGGACGTTGCTCGATGGGTTTCTAACTCATTTCTTTCATATGCTTATAGGGCTGTAATGACTCTGTGAATCCGGCATGGAATCCTTCCTGATATATGGTCAAGGGATGTGATCAGGGGAAGGGACCTTTCTTCATATGGTTAAGTTTGTTTGGAGAATCGTCATTTAAGAGTGGATGTGATCAGGGGAGTTATGGATTTGGCGAGTTGAAAGTTGAAACTACCAGAATATCATTCGCAAATTATTTTGATATTGTGTCTTTTATTTCTTCTTTCTTAATTCTTATTATCCCATCCTCTTCTCTTTAGGGCAACTTCTTGTTTCGCTGATGTGAATCTATGGTATTTAGAAGGAAACATTAGTCAATTTGGTTGAGGATTGTGGGAGTTGCATTCGGATTAATGAACCAGGCTGGATTTGATCATTCTTCACCCTTGCCAGGCTGATGGCATTGCGCAAAGACTGCGGAAGAAACATCCTGATGTTGTTGGCGATCTCCGGCTTCAAGCCCCCAAGTATGTGCCCATCAATGTCTGTTGCGTCCAACCAACGCAGCGATTAGCCAGCTTTTCAAATTCCTTCTGGTAGTCGCGCAAGGTCCAGGACTCCCGGTCTGATGAATTCGAGATAGGGTTTTGTCGCAGCTTTCTCCCTCGATTGGACTGAACCGAGCCCAGAGCTCCTGGGAGAACAGTCCCCATGAAATCGACTCTCTCATGTCTTTGTAGGTTCGCTTCAGCCATTGCCACCACTCAAAAACTGCTCCACACGAGGAAACCATGCCCCTGGATTCTCCCCCGCAAACCTGGGAAATTCCAACCTAGCGACCTTCGCTAGGAAAGTTCCCTCGCTGTCGCTTCGGCCTTCGCTAGGAAAGTTCCTTCGCTCCATCACTCATCACCGGAAGGCTTCCCGTCGTAACTCCATCGAATTGCCGACTCGTGGCGGTGAGCGTCATTGTCGACCTTTGGTCCAGTCGAGCTCCTCTCGTCGACCTTCAGCCCGATCGCGCTCTTCTCCCCTTCCCTCTCATCTGCGCTCTCCTTCTCGTTGGACGTGGTCATCACGCCCTTGTCCTCCCTTTGCGGCATCATCACATCCATCTTGGTCATCATCGTCTATAGAAGTCCCTACACATTCGTCATCCGTATCGTCAATGCCTCCACCACGTCCGAGTTGACTTAAATGGTGGCTTGCATCTCCTCCATTGCCGATTGTAACGCGGAAAATCTTTATGCCGCCATTCCACCCATCCCGGTCGGATACGTAACCATGCTCTGATATCAATTAATAAACTGTTACCCACAATTCCAAGGTTGTGCATGTAACTCATAGACGTGAGAACGACATTGGTGCCGATAAACCTTTACTTTATTATTTGATACAGAACTAATGTCGAACTTACGAATTTATAGGTTTAAAAAAGTCTAATACGTAACCTAATCCTACCCGAATACCCTCTCCTACTCGGCTACACTTACCAAAAAGGCACAAAGAAAATCACAACAAAAATAGAAAACACCAAATCCTGAAATCCAAAAACACTCATAAGCCCAAACCGAAAATAACCTCATCGTGCACATTGTTCATCATGCTCATGGAAGTGCACTCTGTCTTTCTGTCGCTTCCCTTCTTATAAGTTATCTTAAATCTACCCACTAACAAAAAGAATAACAGATTTTTTAGGCGTTTTCTGAAATATAAGGGTTATGCATGTCAGGATCTGCATAGTTAAGTGAATGGCGCAGATCAAGAAATCCATGTTAAAACTTTAACGATCTCCAATCTTCCATATAAATGCACGATCAAGGATATTTGAAAAACACACATAAAGTTACGATTCAATTTTAGGGTTGTTTGGTTTTGGTGATAGTTTGGTTGGGAAAGTTATAATGCATGCAATTTCCACAATGCATCATTTTTTTGAATTTTCTGTGCAAACAATACATGCATTGTTTGCTTGATTTGACACAAACTATCACTCAAAATGAGTGATAGTTAAATCTCAAATTTTCGTTGAGATTGTTTGATGGAGATTGTTGTGTTTTTTTCTTATTCCAAATATGTCCGTACCCTTTTTATGTGTGTATTGCTTTTTTATATTAAAAACAAAGGATAAAAGTGACATTTCACCCAAAAAATTATATAATTTATTTAAATACTACAATAACTATCACAGACACCAAACGATGTAAACTACAATACACCAATTTTTTAATATACATGTATATTATTATGCATGCATTGATGACAATACATCGATTTAACTATCACCAAAACCAAACCAACCCTTACTTTCCTTCTTTGCAAGATTGGCTTGATCTTGTGAGGATATTCTGCCCATGCAGAGTCACTACTGTAATCTACAGGCAATTTGTGATCCATTCCAATCTATCCACCTAAATATCCAACTAATCAAATTCATTTAAATCAAATTCATTTAAATCCAAGTCATTCGATCCAAATGATAAATTACAGTTTAGTACCTATACTTTTTATATTTTACATTTTGGCACCTAAAAATTAAAATTTTAATGAAAAATGTTATTGAAAAGTTATGTTTTGGTACCTAAAATTTTTTATTACGACATTTTAGTACCTAAACTTTTCATAATTTACATATTGATCCTAGGCTTTGGATGTTATTTGGATTCATGGATCAATCCACCAATCCATATGACCCAATCAATGAATTTATCAATCCATTTGATCCAATTCACTTGATCCATGGATACACTAATCCAATCCACCAATCCATTTGCCATGTAATCACATTCAAGCATTCTTAAGAGGCAACCAATACTACGGTTGAACTCATCGCCGCTACAGATTCAGGCCCTTCAGGAGTCGGGAGAAGTGGATGATAAGGAACCACATAACTAAGGGTTTGTTTGCTTGATGGATTTGATGAAGGATTTGGTGATGGATTTGGATCCATGATGGACTTTGTCCAAAATCCATTGTTTGCTTCAAGCATTTAGAGGTAACAAATCCGTGAGACCCATCGACTTTGAGGGTCCAAATTCGTGGGCTCACGAACTTGAAAATCCCACCTCTTTAGGTGGGAATTTATCATGGACTTTGAAATTCGTCATTTTTTACCAACCTACATCTAATATTTTCTTTCAAATCCGTGAAGCAAACGACTAGGTTCACGTTACATGAAAAATGAATGGTGGAAGTTTGAATATATTGTTAATTTATGCTTTAACTGGTTAAGTAGTCAAAAGTTGCTACTCACCATTTACTAATTCTAATTTCCTGAAGTAATGAAACATGCTCCTTGCTACTCACCATTGTTAGATTCAATTTAAGAGTAATGGAGGATTATTAGAATAGTTAGCATCATCATCGTAATAACCCTTAGGGACTAGAAAGCTATAGCTCGTGCCGGATAACTGGATCTTTCTTCAAAATTATCTCAAAGCGTGGCTGGTTGAACAAGTTGGGGAAAAAGCAGTTTTTACTTGTACAGTTGTACCCAAAATGCACGCATCAACTCTGGAAATGACGCATTTCCTTTATGATTACAAACCGTGAAGTTATTCTATATGGACACGGAAAAGCATCACCCATTGCTGAAGGCTACTTACTACATTGGTTTCTTAGTGGTTGTTCAGTACTTATTTATGCGACATTTCTGTTGCCACCACCATTGACAGTACTTCCTCCTGTTCTTCTTCTAGCTCCATATCCTCCTCTGCCGCATCCCCTTCTGCTCCTGCGTCTACTCGAGCTACTGCTGCCTCCTCTTTGTCCTCTTGAACTGCTTCAACTGGTGCCGCCGCCTCATCTCCCATCTCTGGCAGTATATGCTTCCGGCAGCAACGGAGTATGACCAAGACTATGAATGCTGGAAAAAGAAAACCCGTTATCTTGCCATCAGCAGGGAACTCTAGAAGCAGAAGAAAACCCATATCTGGATTGAAGTATATTACCAGTGAAAATTCGGGTTTTGATGCTGGACAAATTCCAGAAGGCTGTGATAGCCGATGCTGTGACAAGCTTCTTGCGAGAGCAGGAGCCCCAGGTCTCCAAAATTCTGCATTTTGCGTTTTCAACTGCATTGTTTTGACACACAAAACACGGAAGTTGGTTCCAGCAATCCAAACAGCTATATGCCTTGCAAGTAATGACTACAAGTCTACAAGGGTGTTGAATGTTGTTTCCTTGGCCGTACCTTTATGGGTTATCTGATCAGAGTAGCATGAATACAGTTTTGGGGCAGTGAAGCTAGCAAAAAATCCTGCGCAGAAACAACCAAGAGTTAATATCAAGAGATCCAACGATGAAGTTAAAACCCAAGCGTTTTGGATGAGGAAATTGTCATCCTATTACCTACTGCACAAAGCCTCCGGAAGGTGATAAGGTGGCCAAACTCAGCCCCCAGAAGCAAGAACGGGATCACCTGTTACCCACAGAAAAAGAAATACTGCTGTAAGTTATCCAGCAGACCACATTGTAGCCCATAGCCATAGAGATTACCATTTCAACGGAAGCTGGCATGACTTACTTTCAGCGTCATGGATGGTTCACCAGAGAAAAGCTGCCTGGTCTTTGAGATTGCAAGATTTGCCGGCGGAAGTATCAACCTACCCAATCTCAGGATGTCCTCGTCTTTCAGCCTACCATCTCGTTCATTTGCATTGGTATTTCTGCGATTTAGCCATAACCCAAATTTAGAGCAGAACTAGGAGGGACTTTAAGACTACAACACCAGAGACCACAACGGATATCACCCTACCTTTGGCATATTGAGTTTGAGAAGAATGATGCTCCTAGAAGCAGAAGCCCGAGTTGGGAAATAGCAGAAAACATGCTGAAGGCACAAAGAAAGAGCTCCCATCACAAACTGCAGAAGATTATCTTGTGAAACGAAATGGAACCTGGACATTACGGAACTTAATTAACCTGAAGTTGATGCCCTTCGCGAAGCAAGAAGATAGGAAACACAAGGAGCCGAAACCAAACCAGAGGCTAGATTTGGCGACGTCTTCCCACATGACAAGATCATAGATTGTCGCCCCAAGTCTATCGAAATTGCTTCCATCGCAATCATCAGCTTCTGAAAAAATCCCGTTCAGGAAAAACCACAAACAGGTGGTGAGCACAAAACGGGGAAAACGACCCGGCCTTGAAAAATCCAAGAAAACAAGAGATCAGTTTTACGTACTCGGACAGTAACTCGACGAAGGCAGCGCTGGAACCAAAGCGAGCTTCTCCTTCTTGGACCGGCCACCACCACCGCCGTGCCGTCTCTTCCTCGGTTTCCCAAACTCCTCCCCTAAACCCACCACCGATTCCCGCTCTTCTCTAATATCCACCTCCAACCTCTTCCTCAACCTCCTGCTGTTCCGTGGAGAAGCGCAGCCCAAGCCACCCACCTGAGATCCCCTGGCCTTGCACCTGCGGCGGGCTCCAGCTGGCTCAACCCCGCCGGCACCTGCTTCCTCCGGCGCCATCTCGATTCGATCGGCCGGCCGAACCCTGGGTTTCCTGGAAGGCGACGGCGAAAGGAGGAGGAGTTCGCGGAGAGGGAGAGAGCTCGTGGATGACCTGGCTGAAAGACCCGAGGGCGTGGACTGTCCTCTCTTGGGCGATGAAGGGAGCACGAGATCGTTGATTGAAAGGTGAGGTGGTGGATCTTTCCCTTGGACGGAACAGGCCGTGTTTCGAGCTAATCGAGAAGCTGATTTCGTGAGAGCAGCGCTTGGGTTCGACCTCTGCGTGCAATTTATGGGCGCGGAATCCATCTCCATAGATTTAGTAGCGGTTGGGGGGACTTAATTGCAGGGATCCTAAATTGATGGGAGATCAGACAGGCGAATTTAACGGCGAGAGAGAATTCTATGGGCTACTGTCGAGTGCGGGAATATAGCAATGGCGAAAATGATTTGGGACTGGAAGAGAGTGAGGAGATCAAAGATCTTTACTTGTTTAGAGGATGGAAAGTAGCCGTTGGGAAAGGGACACATTTTTTTCTTTTGGGTTGGCCCCTTTTTTGAATTCTTGGGCCTGGGAAAGGTGGGGCACGGTGTGGGCATATAACGGTAAGAAAACGATGTTTTACATCCGGCCCCTTTTGTCATGGTTTTTCGAACTGTGTTCATATCCGGGCTTTGTGCGGGCCGGGTTTTGTAATTTTGTATCACGAACGAATTAGCCCATACTATACGAGAGAGAATGATAGAACTCGAAGTTACAGGTACTCAATCCGATCAAATTTGGTAAAATTTAGTGATGATAGATTTTGAATCAGGTGTCTATTTTACCCATTTTTGAATTAATGGATTGGGGAGGGTGTGGATATTATCAAAATCCAACTCGCTTTCCACTCGACCAGTAACTTAAAAACAAATTGGCATAATTTTGTATCTAACTGGAACAATATTATATATAATTTATGAATGTTATTAGTCTATAAGACAATATAAATATAATAATAAGGATAATTTATGGATATTAGTAGTTTTTAGGAGATATATTTGCAGGAATTTTTTTGATAAACATTACGATAATACGATGTGAGTGTTCGAAGAAATAAAAATCGTTATGTTCTTAAACAAATGGTTATCTTTTGGGTTGGGTTGGATTTTCACTTCTAAATTAGTGATTTGGAATTTTTAATGGTGCATACATTGAGTTGATTTGGGTTTAGAGAAACCCGACCATTTACCATCCCATACCAGTACGATTTCTACCTTTAGTGAACATATAGAAGTCATTTGGATGAGGATTTTGATTTTGTTGGATTTCTTGAGAGATTTGAGCTTAAATGCCCCAATCGAAAAAATAGATATTTGTATTGAGAGATTTGAGTTAATTTACTTTTTTGGCATTAAATCAAGGTTTTTACTAAAAGAGACGAAAAGTCTATTTTGCCCCCCCCCCCAATCTTTTGCCTCTTTTATCATCTTTCGCCTCTTTGTCATATTGAATAGTTTAGAACACAAATGTCACGAAACACATATAGTTTGTGCCACATTTGTCATATTGAATAGTTTAGGACACAAATGACACTTTTAGAATAGTTTGGGCTTCCTTGTGGAATTAGCCCAAAATATATCCCTTTCAATTATCTATTCTAGGAAATGACCTTTTAGGAGTTACAAATCCATATTAATTACATCTTCTACCTCAGTATTGATGTAGAAATCTAGTGATAAATCATAGGGTGTCTTAGAGTTGTATTCCACGAGGTCTTTTGATAACAACGACTCAAACCTAATTAGATGTGTTCGAATGATTAATGCAAGAAAGTAAATATTATGTGGGTTGATATGCCCAAATTCGTGTTCTAAGCTACCAAGCGGGGAAAAGAACAAATAATGCAAACAAGAAAGCAAAGCAAGTAAAACAATTGTTTAGGAATATGTTTTCTTAGATGGTCATGTATACTAACTCATCAATAATTTTCTTTGAATACGGTGTTCATTAGGATAAAATGACAGGGCCAAGCCTGCAAGAGAAGTGTACAAGCAAACAATGTAGAAAGGAAATGAAATGGAAAAAAGTCCAAACAAAAGTCTCAATGACAAACCTGAAGGCCCAATAGGGTCCAAACCCATAACCAAAACAAGTCAGAGCCTTTCCCAAACCCTAGTCGCAACGTACTCCCTCTGACCCTCCTCCGGCGCCGCGGCTGAGCACCACCACTGTTCCCGACAAGTCGCCACCGCGATCCAAGCTTTGGTTTGGGTACCCACCTGACCTGGAATGGAAGATGAGGAGGAACACAACCACTGAATCATCTCACACCAAGCTGATCGTCGTACACATCTCGCCGACCACCACGAGAACCGAACAGAATAATCGGACTGCCGACGAAGGCAGAGAGTTAGAATACACCAGTCTTCAAGCTCTCCCATCCGGATCCTCCCCAAGGGCTGCATCTCCAGATCGCCAAGAACTGCAAGGCAAAACAAGGAGGTAGACCAAAGAAGGGTAGAGGCGAAGGCAAGACGTATCTGTCATATCCAATCTCCATCGCATCCTGAATGGGACAAACATCTCCAGATCTGGAAATCGGATCAGAGGACAAAAAAATCAACCCACGGTAGAGGGCATAGGGAAACCACCAAAGGGCAACAAATCAAACCATAGAGGGGAAGAGAGAGCCAAAACATGGCCGAAAAAGAGTGAAAACCGCCGGCACCCCCAACGACATTTGGAGAAGGAAGCTAGAGAGAGGTTAGAGGCTTTGAAAAAAGGAAAGGTTTGGCTTTTGCAATCGAGGTCAAGATCTCTAACTCATCAATAAGATGCCACAATTCCTCATCTCTTAAGATGCCCTATCTCTTCCACTAAGGTCATTCCCTACCTGTGCATGTGCCTCTTGCGATAGGAATTTAACTAGCTAATGCGTGCTTTCGCTTCATGTCACCAACTAATCAATAAAGAGCAAGGAATTAAGGATATCACGCCGTTAATTATGGTCTTCACGAACCATAACGATGGTCTACAACATCGATTATCTATTAATCATGCATGCATACACGAAATGGTTGTCAATCAATCTATACTTGCATAGGATATCACAAGAATATAATTTCTTAACAATCTAAATAATATTATAAACGATGGTCGTAGTAGCATACAATAGATTCTTAAGCATCGGAAGAAGCATTGGATATATGATAGAATAACATCTAGTGGAACTAGCATCTTATTAATCATTGAAAGATACAAGAGCACCATAGGATTCACATCTATAAACAATCTCAAGTTAGCACGTTACTAGGGAGAGGAAGTTATGACAGGCAATGAAGAACATCATTGGTGTAGAGCCTCGTTTCCTTTCGTGAGCGATACTAACACGTGCTGCGTGGGCAGAGCATGTAAAGGCGTGTACAAAATGTATAGGCTCGTACCTCTATTTATACTAATTATAGAAGGGGTAGGGCTGGTAATCGGTCGGTATACAGGATACCGATTAACCGGTATTCGGTATACCGGAAACAGACAGTGTATCCACCGAATACCGATACCGAATGTTAGCCGGTATACCGAATACCGAATAGTCGGTATCCGGTATTAATACCGGTTAATGCATTGAGATTACGTTTTTGAGCCGGTATACCGATTTAATACCGATACCGGAATACTGATACCGAGCCGGTACAACAAAAATAATACAAAAATCAGTACATATTCGGAAAAGGATAATACCACTACATAAAAAAAATACAAAAGACAAAATCAGTATATACGTTCAAAGAACCATTACCACTTTGAAAAACGAGAAACAATATCATAATAGAAAACTCGTATATAAGTTTGGAAGAAATATAAAGGGTTAATACCTTAGTTTGGCCTGAACTATACACATACTTTCTACTTTGGCCCGTGGTATTGAAAATTGCTATTCTAGCCTGAACTATGTAGCAAACTTCCTCATTTGGCCCGGAGGCGGGTTTGACCGTCAAATTAGACGGTCAAACCTATTGACCGTTAGTCAATGTCCACTTCATCTGCCACGTCAGCTTTGAGGACATAAAAAATTATTATTTTTATTTTTGAATTTTGTTTTCCTTCAATTAATTAAAATAATAAATCAAAAAATTAATTAAAAGAACGAAAAAAGGGCCCATTTTTTAGCAAATGACAAGAAAATAAAATTCAGGAATAAAAAAAATATTTTTTATGTCTTCAAAGCTGACGTGGCAGGTGAGGTGGACATTGACTAACGGTCAACAAGTTTGACCGTCTAATTTAACGGTCAAACCCGCCTCCGGGCCAAATGAGGAAGTTTGCTACATAGTTCAGGCCAGAATAGCAATTTCCAATACCACGGGCCAAAGTAGAAAGTATGTGTATAGTTCGGGCCAAACTAAGGTATTAACCCAAATATAAAACCAGTATCAGAAAGAAGAAAAAAAAAACCCTTGGGGTTATTTTCAGGAATATTGTTTTTTTTTTTTAATTTACCACGAATATAGTGGTTTTAAAACTATTTACAGGAATATTGTGTTTTTTGATATGTTGAAAGCGCCGAAGCTCCAGTCCGGGGCGCCGGCGCTAGGTGCTTTTTAAAAAAAAAACTCGACGCCGGCGCCCCGGACTGGGGCTTTGGCGCTTTGGAGATAGAAAAAGCGTCGGCGCCCCAGACTGGGGCTTCGTCGCTGCCATTTTTTCCCACTCCAGCACCTCCCATTCCATTATATATACTGCACCTTTCCTTCGGTTCTTCATCACCAAAAAACTGAAAGAAGTTCTGAGAGAAGCTCTGGTGTTGCTGTCTGGTTGCTGGGAAGATGGCTGATAACAGGTAAGAGTCGTAATTTTTTTTTTCCATGTATTCATCATAATGATTTTGTCCAATTAGTAATTAGAGTTTGTTTTTAATGTAGTGGTTTTAGGAGATTTGAACTAGCTGTTCGGTGGCGATCAGAGAAAGTAGAAGACAATTTGGGTGTCCATTTTGTTGGTGGTTTAAGTTTCCAGATTACTATTCCATCCAGGGTGAACTATCAGAAACTTTGTGATCATCTAATTCGGAGAATACGGATTAGAGACGAAACAGTACAAGATAGTGTTGTGATTACAGGTTTCACCTACTGTCTTCCAGAATGGCAAAATGGTGTTTTATTTCATCATGCAATGCCTATTGTCGATGATGATAGCTTAAATGTGCTTTGGAATTTTATGGCACAAAATTCTTATTGTTTGGGTGCTGAGATACATGCTGAGCTCAGTGAGGATCGGGATGGAGAGGAAGACGATGATGACGGTGATGATACATGGAGCGTGCCATCCGATCCTGCCTTTGATGACGATGATGACGAAGAGGAGGAAGATGAGGAGGAGGAGGAAGACGAGGAGGAGGAGGACGACGACGACGACGGGGAGGGAGGAGAACTACCTAATTATCCTCCATATTTTTACTTGCAGGGTAATGAAGAGGACGAGGAATTATCATATGCTGATTCATATGGCGTAATTCCAGGGTCTACTGTTGGTGGTTTTGATGGAGAATTCTACAAGGGGCAGATATTTCACTCGAAACAAGCTGCACAGGTGGCGATTAAGCACTATGCACTACAACGCAACTTTCAGTATAACGTGGTGGAGTCGTCACCTTCAATCTGGAAGATCAGATGTTTGATGCACAAGGAGGACAAATGTCCTTGGATGGTGCGGTTTGGATGTCGAGATGTGGGAGGCGATTGGAGCGTGAGAAAGGTCGAGTTGGTGCATACTTGTAGCAGTACGACTCAACCGACGGATCATCGCCATCTTGATGTCGACGTGATATCTGAGGCCGTCAAACATTTGGTACGTGCCCAACCAAATCTGAGTGTTCTAACTGTGCAAGCCGAGTTGAAAGATAAGTTTAATATGCAAGTTACTTACAAGAAGGCTTGGTATGGGAAACAAAGAGCATTGGAGAAGTTGCATGGAAATTGGGAAGAATCCTATGATTTTTTGCAGACATTCTTGCGGGTGGTCAAGAGAAAAATGCCAACATCGGTGATTGATTGGGTAAGAGTTCCTTCGACTCAACCAGGTCATTCGATATTTCAGCGAGTATTTTGGGCTTATGGACCTTGTATAGATGGATTCAAGTATTGTCCAGGCGTCATTGTTGTTGATGGGACATTTCTTACTGGGAAGTATAAAGGAGTGCTACTCATGGCGAGCTCATTTGATGGCCGGAAGAAGATTTTTCCAATTGCATTTGCCATAGTGGAGAGTGAGAATACTGATAGTTGGCCATGGTTCATACGTCACGTTCAGGGTTTGACTGATCGAAATGATGTATGCATCATCTCAGATAGACATGCAGGACTCTATGAAGCCATGAATAACATCGGAAGAGGTTGGGAGTGGAGGTGGTGCATGCGACACTATGCAAGCAATTTGCAAAGGAAGACTAAAAGCAGAATTATGTATAAGCAACTATTTCGAGTCGGTAAGCCTTCTTCATTTAATTTTGTTATTTATTTTTAGGTAAGTTTGTCATGAATTTATCTAACCCGTGTGGTTGATTATTTTGTTAGCCGGAGAAAAACGCTTGGAGAAGTTCGATCGTCAAGTTGAGCAATTTAAGAAGGTGGCCACTGATAGAAATATTTCATGTGATAACTGGGTGGACCAACATCAGATTCGTTGGAGTTTAGCACATGATAACTTCAATGGTGGGCGTCGTTGGTCTATCCTGACATCCAACATGGCAGAAAGCATCAATGGTGTTTTCAAAGGTATTCGTGCACTTCCTATAGCTTCTCTTGTGCAACATACCTATTGGCGATTGGTGGAGAAATTCGATAAGTACAGGTTGGAGACAGGAGCAGAAATTAGGAGTGGTCCTTCACAGTACTCCACCAAGTGCGAAGAACTGATGAAGCCGTGGTCACAAAAGGCAGTTGGGCATTCTGTGACAGCTCTTGATCGAAGTCAAGGCATCTATGTAGTTCAGACTCCCCCCAACAATTTAAACATGACGGGGTCAAACACACTCACAGTGCACTTTGACGACCACAACCGGACGGGATTTTGCACTTGTGGGAAATTTCAAGGAAATAAAATTCCTTGCTCTCATGCCATTGCAGCTTGCAACCGAATGGGAGCCCATCCATATAGGTTTGTAAACGACGTCTACAAGCTTCGAACAGTGCTTGCTTGTTATGGGACAAGTTTCTCTCCTCTTGGTGAACCTAAGGGTTGGAAGAAGCATAATGACACTACTCTCCATCCTAATCTGGACATGATTAGAAAGCCGGGGAGACCAAGATCAACACGAATTCAAAACGAGATGGATTGGCCAAGGGAGGGTTCATCACAGCAAGTGTGTAGCAACTGTAACCAAGCGGGACATAATGCATCAACCTGTGGTGGCCAAGCAAGTGGGAGTGGGAGCAACCGAAGAGGGAGTGGTGGCCAACGAAGTGCGAGAGGTGGTAGAAGAGGAGGAAGTAGAGGGAATAGACGTGGCTGAGAAGTTTGTTTGAATGTAGCAGTTGTTGTTTTTCTTTCGATTTATCTCGTTGAAGTTGTTGTTTGGACTTGTTGTTGTTTGGACTTGTTGTTGTTTGAAGTTGTTGTTTTTTGGAGTTGTTGTTGTTTGAAGCAGTTGTTGTTTGGACTTTTATGAACTGAACTAGCTTTTGGAATTTGTTGGTTTTATATTTAAAGTCTCAATTTAGACAACAACAATAACATGAATTAGTCCGCATGAACTGTGGCGGTGGCACGCCCCAGCCCGATGGCTGAGTCCTACGCTCTGGCCAGCTGGCTAAGCTACGCTCATCAGGGTACCGCTGTACTGGCTCTGTATCCGAATGTCGGCGATGACTAAAACCTATAGCTGTAACACCTGCCGCCAACTGGTCAGCATACTCCGCCATCTGGTCATATGATAGCCCTCCTGCTCTCATCCCATCACGTAAACCCTGCTCAACGGTCTCCATGCAGTCGTACTGCAATTTAAATGGAAAATATCAGAAATTCCACACATCTAAAAACAATTAAAACACAAATTTTAATTACTAAAAAAACTCACCGCTGCGTTCAGTGCAGCAACTCTCCGTGTGCCTGAACGTCTAGTGACATCTCTATACCACTCTTGATGCTCCGAGTGGTAAGCTAATTCCACGTCACTGTAGCTCGTCTGCGCTACGAACTCATGTCGACGGTTCCACAACTCAATCGACTCGCTGGCTGCCTGTAAGAACTGCTGGCCACGTGATGGTCCATGCTGTCCCACACGAAGAAAAAATCTAATCTCAGCCGCGGAATGTGGAGGATGAGGCCGGTCCTGAACCATTCCAAACTGTCCTAGCACGCGATCTGGATGATGCCACATCTGCGATGAGAAGCAGATCAGCGGAACCACTGCTCGAAACGTGTGGGACTGGATCACAGTACCGCTGTAGTCCAGACCTCTATGAAAGTACGGACGCCACTGCACACAAGGATTGGTCACATAATTACTCCTAAATCTATAATAAATCAATTAAAACTATTCTATAAAACTAAATGTTATATACTAACCACGAATGTCGTGCACTCGTCAAACCACAGCTTGTACAAGTAGAACTGATCTCCATGCTGACGGGTCTGAGCCGGAAGCCACCGAATGCCACGTGGCACTGCGTCCTGAGTAATCTGCGCACCCGTCACCGCATGTAGTGGTGATGTATGAGGAAACCGCTCCCACGTCCAGAGCATCAGCAAGGCGGCCCATCCACCAAAGTCACCACCCAGTGAAGAAGATGCCGTCATCTGCAGCGCCGATCTACCCATCTCACGGTACAAGTAGGATAGCACAGCTGCTCCCCAAGCAAACCTCCCCGCTCTGCGCCAATCCTCTACCAAAAGTAGATACTGCAGGTGAACTGAACCTCCAGACCGATCGGAGAACAAGACACCTCCCATCAGAGACAGCGCATACGCTCTAGCATACTGCTCTGTCGTCTCTGGTGATGCAGAAAGCGGTAGCTCATCGAAAGTATCCCTGAGCCAAGTAATCCGGATGACGCCGCCACCAAGATCAGTAGGAGCCTGTCCTAACAGTCGAAGACACATAGCCGACCAGTCCTCGTCTGGTATGTCTACTATGACGGCATCACCGTCGATCGCTAATCCAGTGAGTGTCGCAACGTCCTCTAGAGTGATCGTCACCTCACCGAACGGCATGTGAAATGTCGATGTCTCGGGTCTCCAACGCTCTACGAGCGCAGTAATCAAACCCGGATCACCGGTAAGAGGGGCTAGTGGCAGAACACTAGACAAGCCGGCATCGACGAGATACGGCAGGTACAGTGGATTGTATCGAACTAAATTGCCCGTATGACGAATGTGGTATGGTCGATCACCAGCCTATAATTAATTAATGCACAAAACTATATTAATTCAATTCCTTCAATATAATATTCTTAATTTAATCTAATTCTATTCTTAATTTTTATATATCTAAACTAAACTTATTCTAATATAATATTCTTAATTTAATCTAATTCTATTCTTAATTTAATTTAATTCTATTCTATTCTATTTCTATTATACCGCTAATAAAAAAAACTATAGAAATAATTTAATTTAAAAAACTTACCTCATTTGCCCAAACTGCGTCAATCCGATGGTGACCATGCCCCCAAAGAAGTTCCGGATCATTCGGAGCAGTATCGATTGTCGTAGGTGGTGGTCTCATCGAACAAGGATCGATAAGCCTAGGAACTGAAGAAAAAAAATGTTAGACAAAAAAAAAAAAAAAGTCGCCGGAAAAAGTCGCCGCCGGCAATACTCACTCCGGTAACGTTCGCCGCCGCCGCCGCCGCCGCCATCACCGCCACCGCCGCCACGCCGACCTCGCCGGCCTCGGCCTCTTCCTCTGCCGCCGCCGGGGGCCTGCTCGTCGTCCGACATTGCGCCGCCGCTAGAGAGGTGGCGACTTCGCCTTGTGCCGCGCGCCGCCGCCTTGGACTGTGGCGCTGCTGCCTTTTTCTCGGCGTCGCCGCTTGTTCTTGGCGCTGGGATGGAGAGAGGAGTGGAGAGGGGAGGTGGGATGGGTCTGGTCTGGTGTGGTGCGAGAGGGGGAGGGGGGAGGAAGGGGGTAAAAAAAAATTAAACTTGACAGCGACAGCGCCTCGGTCTCGGGCTTTGGCGCCTCTTAAAATTTTTGAAATTTCAGAAGGCGCCAATGCTCGGGACTGGGGCGCCGTCGCTATCAACAGCGTTTAAAACTTGAATTTCTAAGTCTCGGGCGCCGTCGCCGACTTTCTTCCTAAAAACACAATATTCTTGTAAATAGTTTTAAAACCACTATATTCCTGGTAAATTAAAAAAAAAAAACAATATTCATGGAATTAACCCCACCACAAGTGGTGCGTTTGGGAGAAGATTATCAATATCAACATAATAAAACTACTACTCGAACAAAAATCAAATCTGTGTTAAGATAAAGGTAAAATCAGCACAAAAATAAAAACCAACCACTAGAAAAAAACTCAGATCTCTGTTATCGACATTCTCTGTTTCGAGATCTGGCAACGAGTGGAAAAGAGAGAGGAAAGAGAACAGAAATATTTAAATTTGTGAACTAGTTTGTCATTTTTATATATTTTATAACGTTATCATTTGAACGATTAAACATGATCGACACATAAAATGAATTTAACGAATTTACACGGACAATAACCAATGATGAAATGAAATTTAAAACTTAGTGACTAGTAAACAAGGAAGATCCCTTGAGTGAGAAACATGAAATACATTAATAAATTGAATAACCAAATCTGTAATTCAGGAAAATATACTCTTTCCATTTAACGAATAGTATACAATACATAGTCCTTTATCATTGACGAAAGCAGCAACAATTATTACACCCATAAGTTAACCGGGGCTTTTTCTTTTATTTTGTTTGAAAGGGAAGCTTTTCTTATTGTACATGAGGTATTGGGAATCGACATCCACTGAGACCCACTGCAAGTTCCTGAAACCTTGGGTTCTAATTAAGCTGAAGAGGAAGACCACGCATTTGAATCAATCCAGTTGAAAGCAATTGGGCTGAGGAAAGCACCGGGGACGCCAAATGAGCTGACCAATCCAAGCGCATGCGGCCGCAGCTCGCTGCAAAGCTTGGCCACCTCTGCCCTCACAGCAGCTGCCTTCTCCGTCGATAAGTAGCCGTATCGGAGGAAGGCAGCATCTTCTTCCATGCACGTCAAAGCGTACAAGGATCTCAATTTCCCCACCACATCCTGCGCTCATATGGAAATCGAATCAAACGCATAGAACAAGACTCCATTCGTTCAATTTCGTCCCGACTTTGTACCCAACATTAACGAGTAAAGACCACACATTATACCTTCATTGGACCGGTCGATACTGTACCCTCGTCGTTGAGGAAGGTTTCGAATATGATTCTGTCGGAGAAAGCTCTCCCCAAGTCCTCCGCGAGTTGATAACCCTGGTATGGATCATGAAAATGGCAACACAATAGAAATTTAGAGTGTTTTGATTCAGCTGTTGCTGATAATTTGATATTTTTTCAAGCTCAGGAGAAACGAATAAACTGTATTTGGTTGGGTTTTGACACTGAGAAATGACTGCTGTAGTAGGTGCCTTTTCCAGTAAAAGGGAATGAAATGTTCTTACCAGCGCAAAGGCATACTCTTTATTCACTCCACTCGACTGATGTTGCGACATCTCCGCAGCGAAACGATTCAGAAGGTCTCGCTCTCTCAAGCGGAGAGTAGTAATCTGGCGTCAGCTAACAGGGTAAGGGATATCGCTCCGTAAGCATCAACTTAAAAAGAAATGAAAGGTAAAACAGCATTACCTGGAAATTACTGCTTCTGAGGATGTCACTTGTGAGTTGGGATGGAATGACAGGCCAAGGTTCATTCATGTACTCCAACCCAAGACCCTTGAAAGGCTTATTCTTTTTCTTCGCGGCTATAAATTCTCCAAGGAGTGCTTTGCTTACCTGTCACGATTGGATTTTAAAGCTTACATTCATTCTTCTTGTGCTTGAAAATCTTGTTTGGCCAACGATCAGGTGAGACCGCTCATGAAAAGAGATTCCAGGAAAAGCTAGAGCATCGGTATTTACCTGCTGCATGAGCACATTATTATCCCCTTCGAAAGTGGACTGGACATCATATTCACCCTTGAGATGTCCAACTTGATTCTCAGTCTTCAACCCTTGTCCACCACAGGCTTCACGGCATTCCTGAAAAGGATACATAGTATTTGTGAAACTATTCTGCAATAACAGTAAGACTGCCTTGAATGTTCTCATATTGTAATGTTCTCACTTGTAATGTTCTCATATTATGCCAGGTCAAGACAGCCTTGAATCCACTTGAAACCACATGGATGGTTTTATTTGACTCGGGCGTCCTCTTCACGTACATCTTCTTTAAGTAATTCCCAGCACAGGTCATAGCATATCTACATTTTACCAGAATCATCAAAAAGGTTACCCAAGGCAGAAGACAAAAACGGCAGTATTTATACAAATTACAAAAAATGACTAACAAATCTGACAATATCACTTGTGCAGCATTGTCGTCCAGAGATCTAGAGTTTGGAATTGGTAGTCAACAACAGATCAAATGTCTTCCATAAACAGTCTAAAACTAAATATGACTACGATTTTGAACGTCATACTACCATAGCACACAAGTCATTTCAATTTTCACGATAAAGTTATTCCAGATTAACTTGATGCAGGTTTTCCAGAATGTGAGCATGAAGCTTAAAAATCTAATTCCCATTCTTAAGTAACCAACATGATATCCAGATATAGACTTCCAATATAATGTAAATGAACTAAGAATTAGCCAAAGTGGCATCATACTCTCCCTATGCAAATGACAAAATACAACGCAGTTGACAAGTCAACCCTTGTGAAAACTAAGTATCCCAACTGTCATGTTTGGAAACAGACTGTAGTAACCATTCAACAGATATATGTGCACTTACGTCTTGGCAACAAGAGGCAAGAGCCTCCTTTGGTGACTTGGGTAGTCAAGCAATAGGACTTCTGGTTCATTAGGTACAAACGAGAAAGCACGCCTACTGAGTGCATATCTGATGGCAATTGCTAAACCAATCTGCTCAAAAAAATAGTACCATATCAAGAGTCATAGCCAAGACTGAATCCTGAAGATAGAAACACATGGTACCAAATCAGACAAAATAGTAACTGGCGCATAATCAGCTAACGAGGAAATAGTGAAAGTGATTATACAACATGTTCTAAATACTATTGCGTAGTCAATTCTTTAGTTCACACTATTTAACCAGAGAAAATTTAAGGGTGACAACTTGCTGCCCGTAGAAGTAATGACTGGCTACTAAATGCATCAACTGTCCCTTCACCTTCTTAAGTATCGGCATATGCCCCATGAACTGAACAGTATAATAACAATCTATGATATCCAAAGTAATGATATTTTTGGGAAGCCTTCCTACCAGAGACTTTGGCTGAGAAGTCCCAAGGAAGAAGATAGGACAAGAAAGAAAATAGAACAAAACCTGACAATAATTGGAGTAATATGATCTAGATGCCTGATTGCTTATTGAATGATCCATTGATTATATCCAATTAAGTACAAATCCAAATAGAAGACTTCATATTGGAGACACCCAATATATGGCCAACAAGGAGAACGAGCTCATATTTTTTTTGATATATCATGGGTCAAAGCATATATGTAAAGATCAAGGGAAAGCATATATACATATTAAAACCAGCTGTAAATGTAGTATCAGATGCCCATGACATGAAAGTTAACTCTCATCACTTCATGTTACTTACCTGTGCGGAGTAAATTGCAGAAAGAGAAATAGTTACACGACCAGATGTCAGAGGGGCGAGGAATGCTGCAAATCTCTGTGGCAACCAAGAGTGTGAGTAAGTATCCAACCCGTACAGCTAGATCGATGAAATACTGAGATTTCACAGCATGAAAAGATTACCTGATCAGGGTCTTGTATTGCACTCTTATATTGTCCATCTGGTGTGACATCGGCAACAGAATTCAAAAGATTCTCTCTAGGAATTCGGACATTGTCAAACCTGATAAGTGATTTGAAATGCTCTCTTTCAATTCCTTCATATAGATAGAAAAATAGCAACAAAACAGGTGAGGTAAGTACCAGATTCGACCATTGTCGACTCCGTTTAGTCCAATTTTGTGACCACAATCTGCAATGCGGATGTTCGGGCATATGTTCCCATCGAAATCTCTGAGCTGCACTATAAATGCATGAACTCCTTGGTTTCTTCCATTTATGTTGAGCTGTGAAAACACTACTGTGTGCGTTGCATGCTGAAAGCAACCAGAAAGAAAAATAACAAAGATCAAGATGCTAAAGTGGATAAAAAAATAAACCTATAAGGGACTTCAGTAGAGGGAAACATTCACAAGAAATAATACTGTGACAAGAAATCCCTCCACAGATCCTTACATTAGCAGCTCCACCAATCCAATACTTCTGAGCAGATTCACAAGGCGTAGTTATCACAAACTCATCTGTTTTGGGATCATAAGTTGCAACAGTTTCAATTCCTCGAACCTTCAAAACATTGTCAAAAAGAAACTGTTAGGAAAAGTACACAAATGAGGGCATAGAGGACCAGATAGAGAACCATCGGACCCCACATAACATAAAATTGACATCCTTCACCTACATTACTTCCATGTCCCAGCTCAGTCATGGCAAAGCAGCCCTTGATTCTGTACGTTTCAGTGTCCCTCAGCCACTTATCATGGTGACGCTTTGTACCAAAGAATTGAATAGCACCACCCCTAGAATCACAGTACACAGAAAATGAAAACTTGAGGACCATTCTTCTTCTCACTTGAAATCAAGCCAAATCATCTGAGCTATCCGCCTCAAAAAGTACACGGAAGACCAAAAGAACTTATGGGTTCTATACGTTGTTTGCACAGAGATCAATTTAAACAAAGTGTTACTTATGCTGAAAGTAAGCAGGACATACTGATCCAGAACCTAACCGTGCATTCTTGACACAGAACCATGTTTGATGAGCATCACAGACGTCTGAAATTCAAAAGCACATACCCTCTGATGTTTAATTTAATGCAGGGACTAACATATTAACGACATAATTACAATTAGTTGATCATCGCTGCAATACTAGCCAAGAATCATATAGCAATAGACCGGTTCAATTTGCGAGGAACAAAACTGACTGACAACAATTAAGTCCATACTTTCAGATTCTGGATGATTACTGATCAGAAAGAGAGAAGAAATGGAAATAGAGCAGCAAGGAAGAGATAGGGCGGTAGGAGTAGGACACACCATAAGAAGAAGTGGACACCGATTTTGATGGCGAGGGACTGGTCGAAAATGCCGAGAGTCTCCATGAAGGCGAATTTCCTCATCTCCGTTTCCGGTCCTCTGGTGGTGAGCCAGCCGTCGAAAACACCTCTCTCCAACAAATACTCGATCCTCTTCATCGTCATCTCCCGCTGCTGCTCCTTGGTGTGATTGAAATCCGGCATCACGAACACCTTCCCTCCTTTCTCTTGCGGGTTGAACAGTTTGCTCTGCATCATCAGCCCGAACAGCCAATCCCGGTCCTGGAGATTGTGCACGTCGAGCAACTCCCGCATCTTCCTGACCTCGAATTCGATCTTTTCATGGAGCTCGGGAGGGGAGTAGCTCAAGCAGATGTTGGATTGGAGAGAATTGCCGCCGACCTGAAGGTCGGAGGTGGTGAGGTGATTGGACAGAATTCGAGTCCGGCGGGAAGCCCGATCGGTTGGGGATTCCGACGACATTTCTTGGCTTACAAAGTAGGGTAAGAAGCAGGTTTCAGCTCCTGCGATTTCGCCAATGATACGTCGGTGGGACACGAGAAATCAAGATTGTATCGGGGAAGGAAGACAGGAGATCGGGTATGAAATGGGATTACGTTTGGCGGGCAGGGGCAGCGGTGCCCATTAATACATCCACCGCGTGCCTAATTGGACCAAGGTGAGCAATGACTGCTTGTTCAATTTTATTTTATTTTATGTCAGTCCTCGTGAAGCGTGAATGGATAACAGCAATGGAACAATCGCCAAGAGCTATAAACTTTTTTTTGGTTTTTTATGGAAGAATCACCGATAATATTTTTCACCAAAAACTGGAAAAAAGCTATATTACCGGGCTCAAAGTCCCACGGAATCCTGTCGCAGCATGTTACACAAGGCCATATAGGGCCCGGAATCCCATTCTCCTAGCCCACATCAAAATGGGCTCAAAAGTGGGCTGCTAGGGGCACAACCTAGTCTTTTTTTTTTTTTTGAAAAGTTGGGCACAACCTAGTCAAGGACCCGTTCAACCAAGGTTGTCAACCAGCAAGTTGACCTGGACCCGGTCGAGCTAGTGGGTCAAGGGTTAATGGGTCAACCGTTTTAGCCCGGTTTGGCCCGGAAATATGGAAAAAGTCATTATATTGTACTTATCCTCATAAATTATATCAAATCTTATCTAACATATGAGTTATAACATATAATATTACATCAAAATAACATATCGTATATAGATCCAACATATAGTGAAAATTCACACACACTTATATAACATAAATATTCAAATGTTCAACTTAGCATTCCAAAAATTGAGCTAGGCGAAAAGAAAAATCGGAAAATAGGCGCATTTCGCAAACCAATGAAAAAAATGACACAATTTGACCTCCAACCCGGTACCTTGTAGCGGTCGATCCGGCTGGTGCGTGCGGCCCATTTTTCTCACCGAGTCAAGGTCAAAGTGGTTCGACCCGCGAGTTGACAACCTTGCTCTCAAGTCTCAACTGATCGGATCGATTCCCAAAGGATGCGAGACTGGGTTTCAGGAAGGCTACATAAAGGACATTTTGGCACACTCGCGCCCATAGGTAAGATATATCTGCCCACTCTCCATATGAACTGCTTGACCCTTGGATGGGATCTGTAGTAACAACTTACCATAAGGTATTCCTAAATTTTGGACTAAGCATCCTTAGAAATTGAGGTTGAGTTTTGTTTCCTCCATTTAATGTGCAGTAGAGTTGGCAAGTAGAGGCTGGCAAATGAATTGAATACATGAATTGGTGGATCCATGGATTAAAGATATTTTTTTTTATAACTGGATCAAAGAGATTGGATTCAATGGATTGGTGGATTCATGGATTGGATAAAATGGATTGTTGGACTGATCCATGAATTCAAATGACATCCAAGTCTTGGACCATTATGTAAATTATGTAAAGTTTTGGTACTAAAACGTCATAATAAAAAAATTAGGTACCAGAACATAATTTTTCAATGATATTTTTCATATAAGAATAAATTTTAGGTTCTAAAATGTAAATATAAAAGGTATAGGTACTAAACCGTAATATGTCATTTGGATCAAATGGATTGAATTAGGTGGATAATTTGGTGGATTGATTGGATTGGATTCATGGATATGGATCATAATTGCCACCTCTATTGGAAACCTTGTCTTGACCGAGTAAATTTCATTCTTTGTGTTTTCAAAATAGTGAGTCATGTTAAGAGAAATCCTTGATTATATATGTTGATCACTTTCAGTGACGGCGCCAGAAAATTGATCAATGAGGTGTCATTCTTCATATCATAAGATATCAACTACATAATTATAAAAGTCAACTCTAAACTAAATAAAAGGCAAAAATATAATACTCAATTTTCCTATGGTTACAGAATAATAGTTCAACGCACATCACTTACAATGAATCGCGATGAGATTTGATTTCATAGTCTAAAAGCATTGCAGAGCATAGTCATTGTCCAAATTAGCACACAAATCTTGTTAAATATGTGTCATCGACACATCGTTCATTCAGTTTCTGGTGATTTTTCTTGATATATTTCATTTATGAAAATGATCTCTCTACACTTGTTGTTGCAACAAGCTGAATAAGTGTAAATTAAGAACCAAAAATAAACATTTGTGTGTATGTGTTTTCTTGCTAACCCATCAATCCTTTATAAGAAGTATTTGAACGTGTTATCAAATGGTAGATCACAAATATATGAATTCAACTTGTGATCAAGAAATTTCATAAGAGGTGCTATTAGAATGTTTTGATTTTAGGATGGATGATTGCTCTGAATAAAAGTTTATGTATAAAAGAATAATCAAATTTATTAGCATATATGGTGAGATAATTGGTCCAAGATTGATAAAATAGGGGGTTCAAGTCTTATACCCAATTTCTTTCAAAAAAATTCACACCCATCTTTTTGCACAACTTTGCTAGTGGTCACTCTTATAGAATAGCGCATGAATTCTCTTTAAATCCCAAGTTATTGAGTCTTGATCTATAATGGATTTCTACCTCAAGATATAAAGAAGTCATCATGATAGATGGAGCCATCGATGGTGAAGGCATCCTCGTCTAGCTCTATCAGAACTTCATCTGTTTAGTTTGTATGTCTTGTGTCTCTAACCCTCTACTTTAAGCCTCTATTTATTGTACATGGAAGAAGGGGTGTTCTAGCATTTTTCCTCCTAAAGCTTGGCCAAAAGCATCCTTGTACGACTTGAACTCAGATTTCTTGACTAGGGGGCAAAGGAAGAAGCTTCTAGAAGATTCCATTATTGGGCTTGTGGCAGTCAAGGCCACCGCGGATTTTCTTGAACATTTGGGTTGCTTGGCACACAAGCAACCTCTCCGCTAAATTTGGGCGCGACTTGATGGGTTAGGGTTGGCGACAGTTGGGCCCATCACGTGACCGCCATGACTTTTCTTCCTCCAAACGGGCAAGTTTTTTGTCGGCAAATTCATCTTGTGCTTAATGGGTTTCTCCTTCAATTTAAGCTAAATCGGACATCGTTTGACCTATCATCTTTCATAAATGTGGTTCTCGGGACCATTAGACGTGCAATGCATCCGATGTCCAAATCTATCTTCGTTTTCACTCATGAGCTTGTAGTCTCATCATCCTTCTGATTCATTGATTATACATATTCCTATTGAGTGGATTATATCCCTGAAATGCAAAAAATAACTCTCCAAGGCATAAAATAGTACAAAAACACACTCAAGGTTTATCATATGCATGTAGATCAAATAGTTACGATCTTTATATGCAATATAATAAAATATACTAAAGATGCATCGATAAAAAGGGAAATTTATCAAATATAGGGAGTGATAGGCACTATAATTTGAGCATCAACGGTTGGTTGTCAGTGGGTTTATTGAATTAAAAAGGAAGTCAGATGGCTCTATTGAGCATTGTAAGGTGCACTTGGTTCGCAAAAGGGTTCACTCAACGCCCTGGAATTGACATTTATGCTATTTATAATCTCATTCTCAGTCATGTTACTGCTGTTCTTATAGTATTCAATATTGCTTCATCTCAGTGGTGGTCTATCTTTCAGTTTGCCGTCAGCAAAACCTTTCTTCAAGGCTCATTGCATGTGGAAGTCTATATGGAGTAATCTATGGGTTTTTGTGGTCCTGAATATCCACATCATGTTTTTTTCTTCTTCAACGACCCATCTACAGCTTACGCCAGACACCTCGCTCCCGATACACTTCTTTAAGTTCTTATATGGAAAGTGAAGGGTTTGTCAAAACAGCATCTAATGGCTAAATGTTTGTCTATCATCGTGGAACCACCATTAAGTTGCTGCTCACGGATAATAATTTTACACTCCTTGCTCAGTTTCAAGACCAGCTGGCTAGTTGTTTCTCTCTAAAGAAGCTTCGTGATGTTCACTATTTCCTCGACATTGTGGTTTTATCTACTCCTACCGGTTATCTCTTGTCTCATAAAAAATATATGATCTTGTGGATCCATTTCATATGAACAACGTCAAGCTAGTGGCAACATTCTCTATTCTATGAGTCGATGTACTCTTTAGGACGAATCCCCTGTGGCTGATTCGACCCTTTATTGTCAGGTTTTGGGCTCTCTTCTTCAATATCTTATTTGCACTTGTCTTTATGTTGTCTATGCTTTCAACAAGCTCTCCTAGTTCATGCATGTTTGCACTCATCTTCATTGGCAATCAATCAAATGTTTCTTGTGTTATCTCCAAGGTACCCAATCCCTTTGTCTTTGACTTCATCCTTTCACTAACTCTTTGCTTGTTGCCTTTGCCGATTCGGATAGGGTCGGCAGCCTCGATGATCCCACCTATACTATGGGCTTTTTAATATACTTTGGCAGGAATTCAATATCCTGGAACTCTAAGAAGCAACGTATTATTGCTCGTTCTAGTACCGAGGTGAAGTATCGAACTCTTGCGATTGTTGTCGCTGAGATATAGTGGATTCAAAACCTTCTACATGAAATCCATCATCCTATTTCTCGATCACTGATCCTATATTGTGATATCATGGTGCGGTCAACTTTTCTACTAATCTAGTCTTTCACTCTCGTATAAAGCATCTTGCACTAGACTTCTACTTCGTTCGTCATCTTGTTCGTGCCTCTTGATTACATGTTTGCCACATTTCGACCATTCATCAGCTCGTTGTTGCTCTCACCAAGGCACTATCCACTGCTCTCTTTCAGCTTCTTAGATCCAAGATTGATATCGTATGCATTGCCAGCCAAGTGACGGTTGGACATGGATAAAATGAAAGAGGTAGAAGAAGAAGTATTAAGTGACATTGGTTGGTGGAGTGGTTCGACTCAACAATTGTATTAAGTTTTATTATATGTTGATACAAAAAATTAATGTTTGATTCCTAATGTTAAGTTTTTAAATGGAAAATGTAACAGTGCAACCAAAAGTGGACTTATATGGTTTAGTTGCAACAAAAAAATTAGGTAGTGAACATGCAACACAAGCAATAGTTAAGTGATACCCGATACATTTAACTCGAGAAGTGGTTGCTGATAGCTTGCTAAATACAAACATTTTGCCTTCGCATTTGAGTCTCTTTTTTTATTTTTTTCCTTCTTGTTGTATCATTTGTTTTTATCGCAATTTAAATTTTGTTCACCTATATTAGAGTCAGCTA